CAGGAGACAGAACATACAGCCTGTAATAGTCCATATGTTATTTCAGCCACAATGTTTCAAAGTTATATTTACAGGTATTTTCTTGAATCTTTCTTTTGAGTTCTCTTTCTGATTATGCCCTCTTTGTAGATGAGCTAATGGGATATCTATGGTTGGAAAATATAGTTTAGAGCAGGGGTCACCAACCTTTTGGATCTCAGGGACCACCAAACCTTTATTTTTAAATCCCATGGATCACTAATATGATTTTTTTTTTAAATATATATATATTAGTGCAATATAAAAATGCAAATAATTTTTCTGTGGACCACCAACATTTTCTCGGGGACCACCAGTTGGTGACCGCTGGTTTAGGGAAAGATTATTGCACTAAAAATGGAGTTTAAAAATAAAGGTTTGTTGTTGGGGGGTGGGATCTACAAGAGCAAAGAGACTTAGAGCTCACTTGAGGATCTACCATCACAGAAGTTTCCGCAGGAAATCCTATACTTAGCGGGGAATGATCCTATACTTTCCGGAGGAATAATTCTGTTTTCATCAGTGTAGCATGTGTGCATGTTAATTCATTTGTAAAGGCTTTTGTGCCACTTAGATGCTAAACGTTTTAAGTAGCTTACATCCATCAATACATAGAATTAAAATCAATAAAGCAAAATGAGCAAGTATTACAGAAATAAACATTTGATATGCTATCAGCAAGGGATACATTAGTATTCAAATTCCTCAAATATTATGTGGAAAAGCCATATATGTTTTACCCTATGAAAGCCCAACAGAGGGATTGTGGTCCAGGTATCCAGAGGCAGGCTGTTCCACAGAATGGGGGCCATCATTGGGAAAATTCAAGTATGGGGATTATGCAGATTGTATTTTCTCACAGACAAACCTTTCACTCAGGATAACATTGTTCACCTCCTATTACAAACTTTTCCTGTTTATAATTAATGTTTGAAAAGGGAGAGAGAAAGAAGTTAGTATACAAATAATCTGAGATATGTAGAATTTCAAATATGAGACATAAAATTTACAAGTACAGAACTATAGGAATTTTTGTTATCGCAAATGTATTCCTCTGATAATAAAAGAAAACAGTAACATTTTGTTTTTCATATTTAACAATCCAGGTTACGATTTGAAAAAACCCAAAAACATGTGGAAGGCTACATTGAACATTGCAGCGGTCATATTGTAGTCTCTGCTTCCACTCGCGAGTGGGCTATTAAGAAGCATCTTTATAAAACAACTGGTGTGGCAGCCTGTGAGAATGTGGGGCGTGTATTAGCACAACGTTGTCTCGAAGCTGGAATCAACTTTGTGGATGACAAGGTTATAATTCCATGGGAAAAACACGGCGAAGGGGCAAGTTGATTTTGTTTTTCTTACTTTGGTTGCTACTTACCGTATTTTTCAGAGTGTAAGATGCATTCCCCCCCCAAAAAAAAGAGGGTGAAAATTTTGGTGCGTCTTATACACAGAATACCTGCCGGCCCCCACCTGCCGGCCTCTGCCTCCCAGCAATTTTATTCCTTGCAGCAGCCTGTTTCAGTTTCAGCTTCAGCACAGCCTGATTAGCACAAGCAGTTGATTGTCGGTATCGGCCTGACCATCAGCTGTTTCAGGCTGCAGGAATTGCCATTGCCTATTCCCGCCTCCACGCACATCCCATTTTCCGCCCATTCCGATCCCTGCCGCCCGGAACGGGTGGAAAATGGAGTGTGTGCAGAAGCTCAAAATGAGATGCGGAGGCCGAAAACGGGGACGCAGAGGCGGCAATAGGCTATGGCAATCCCTGTAGCTTGAAACGGCTGATCCTTGGGAGGCAGATCCAACCAACAATCAGCTGCTTGTGCTAATCAGGCTAAATTAAAACTGAAACAGGCTGTTTGCTGCAAGGAGGTAAATTGCTGGAAAGCAAAGGCAGATTTTTTTTTCTTGTGCTAATTAGGCTAAACTGAAACTGAACCTGGCTGTTTGCTGCAAGGAGGTAAATTGCTGAGAGGCAGAGGCAGATTTATTTGTGCTAATCAGGCTAAATTGAAATAGACTTTTGTTGTTTTCTGTAAGGAGGTAAATTGCTGGAATGCAGATTTTTTTTCCCTCCCCAAAAGCTAGGTGCGTCTTATACTTTGGAGCATCTTATACTCTGAAAAGTACAGTATCCTACATTTTATATTCTTGACCACAATATTGTACAGTTTACTTATAGCATGGCTTTATGACCAAAGCATTAAAAATGTGTAAATATCAATGAAGGCTTAGTGCAGAGTTGGCATATACTCTTAACATGAGAATTGCATTGTTTGGGGAGAGAAAGGAATTGAAAGAACTGTAATTCACTGTGTATGCTGAAAGTACTAATGGAACTGACAAAATTAATAGTTGTGTCTTTCTTTTTAAATGCAAATAGCTGAAACGTTTCAAACAGGCTGTGACGGAAGGTGGTGTTGAACTGAAAGAACTTGAAAGAATTTATGATAAATATGGTAATAAGAAGCTGCCAAAGGAAGTACAGTCTTAGAAGCCTGCAATTCTATCCTTGGAAAACATTTGATCACACGCTGCTCTTAATACCTATCTTTTTATATTAAATAAAAATCCAACAGATGTGCAAATGCTGATGACAGTTTTTTGTTTGCTTTCTTATTAACTGTTTTCATAAAATATTACAACAGCATAAAACAATAACCTGCTACAGGTGGTTCCCTAGTCAATGTATCTATATCTCTTTTTAAAAAATAAATTAAAAAACCAGCCAATATTATTTCTCTTTAAAAATAATTGGTAGGTCTGGTGTGCACTCACCTGCAGTAACAAAAGGCTCTTTTATTTCCTTTTGCTTTTTAAAATAAACCACTTGACTGTGATGTGTGATTTCTTTTAATGGTAGAAACAATCATTTTGTTTCAAATATGCATATATCAGATTTCTTTTGACAGTGTTTAAACTTTTGTTAGTCAACAAAAGTGATTAATATATTATGATTTACTTAATGGGAAATGCTGGAAGTTGATATTCCAATATTCATTCTGGATCTTGAGCCATGTGGGATTAATTAAATTCTAGCAGAGTTTGGCACATTTTCAGCTGAGTCTGGAAGTATAATAGGTTTCATCTCTGTAACAGAAATTTGATTAGGACTATCAATGGGCCTGCTTTGCAGTATCTTCATTTGTCTCTTTTTGAACAAATATTTCCCTTATAAAACAAAGGATAAGAGATACTTAGCATAAAGAATAGAGATTTTATTTGCATTAGACCACCATATCAAACTACTCTTATCTTGCTCTTTAGGAGAAAAAAAAATCTCAACTATTTGCCTAGATTGGTCATCATTATTACTATGGCTTTCTGTTCTACTCAGAAGATACCATTTAAGAGGCCTTCTTGACCATTGATGCAACTAGAGAAATTGGTTAAAGAAAAGTCTGTAGAGGACTTTTGACCCCAGGACACAGATAAACTTCCAAGTGCTTCAAGGACCCTCTTAAACAGGGATGTCAAATTCACAACATTGTCACATGACATATTGCAACTCCCCCCCTTTGCTAAAACGGATGGGCATGGCCACATCTAGCCCACAGAGTGCGAGTTTCAACACCCCTGCTCTAAAAGGAAGCAAATGACCAGCTGTCTGCAAGGAGTATAAATCCTTCCATTCCCCACTATCCTGTCGGAGCTGAAGAAGCTTCTTGGATGAGAAGCAAAATGTCTTCAGAGAAAAAGCAGGAAAGTCCAGTTGATTCCTGAAAAAGCACCTTTGCTTAGAGAAAACAAAATACATATGACTACCTCATTTTCAATGACTGCGTGGACACTATATTCAGCAAGATATATTAAGGCAGTGCAGTTTTTATTTTCAGTAAGGTAATTAAGCAGCCCATAATTGATCTTACAGTACCATTTAAATCCATACCTATTATGAGCACAAAAGGAGAAAAAACCCTGCAAGAACACAGGTAGTCCTTGACTTACGACTGCAATTGAGCCCACAATTTATGTTGCTAAGTGAGAAGTGTGTTGTGAGCTTTGCCCCGTTTTATGACTTTCCTTGCACCAGTTAAGTGAATCCTTGCGGTTGTTAAATTAGTAACAGAAATAGTGAAACAGAAACAGAATAACAGTTGGAAGGGACCTTGGAGGTCTTCTAGTCCAACCCTGTTTAGGCAGGAAACCCTACACCACTTCAGACAAATGGTTATCCAATAACTTCTTAAAAACTTCCAGTGTTGGAGCATTCACAACTTCGGGAGGCAAGTTGTTCAATCTGATTTTTGAATCTGGCTTCCCTATTGACTTTGCTTGTCAAGTGGTCGCAAAAGAGGATCACATGACCCCAAGACACTGTAATGGGCATAAGTATGAAACAGTTGCCAGGTATCTGAATTTTGATCATATGATCATGCAAAGGTTGTAATTGTGAAAAATAGCTATAACTCACTTTTTTCAGTGCCGTTGTAACTTCAAATGGTCACTAAGTGAACTGTTGTAAGTTTGGGACTACCTGTATACAAATATATATTAACGGTCCAGAGTCGCTGAGAGTCATGTGGCATAGAAATTCAATCAATGTTAACCTTAGTCTTAATCCATACTTAAATGCTACTTCCAAGGCAAAAACAACCTTTATCGATTTATACAAGTGGGTTAATTTCTAAATAGCCAATCTGAATTTTAGCCAATAAACGTTTGTTTAAGTCGTTCCTCAGACCCTTATACCATTGACCGAGCCTAGGCGTTGTAATCCTTCCCCATTAGGGTTGCTTTCCCAGACGGACAACGAAAAGGACCAATGACCTGATTCGGACCATCGTTTGCAGCGATCGGGGAACGCGGGTGCTTAGGAGAAGAGTCTTTAAATGCGGAGGGAGGGCGGAGTAGCAAATGAGGCTAGTCCCGCCCCTTTCAGCCTCCGAGGAGAAGCGGGAAGTTCACCGAACCGCAAAGGCAGGAGTTGGCGGGCGCCGCGGAGAGAAAGCAGCCGGGGCGGGATGGATGTGGGGGCCGCGCAGTTTCCAGAAATGTTGCCTCGGTTAGAGGAGCTTGTCCTGGGCTGCGACTTCGTTGGTGAGGCAGGGGTGTGATATGGAGGGCGAAATCTTCCCCATCTTTTTTAATAAGCTAACTACGAAAGAGTTCTGTGGTTCACACACCTCCACCCTCATTTATGCGTGCAAACTTTGGTCTCGGCTGGCGCGTTCCTCCTTAAACTTTGGGATATATCTTAAACGGAGAAAGCTTAAATGGAGAATGTTATTGATCCCAAGGAAATCGTTGGATCTACTTCAGGGGCTTACCAGGATCTGCTTACTGTAGATGGGGGACTGGATCATTGATTTGATTCCCATTTGGCCCTTTGGATGACTCACCGACTGGGTTAGGGAGCCAAAAGATGATATATAGAAAATAAATAGACCACAAAACACTCACCCATCCAGTGTAATTGATACACCATGGTTATGTAATTCATACAACTATGGCTGGTTAAATAGCTGATGGAGCAAACCATGGTTTAGTGATCTATCACAATCATGATCTCAACTTTACAGAGTTGTTGTAAGAAGGATATAAGGAGAGCCGTAGGCAAATTTTATGAAAATAGGTATCCATATGTTGCTATATAGATTATGCCTTCTGATTTTGGAAGTAATTTGTAATTCTCAAGAAATTGCATAGCTCTTTTATTTCCATCCTAGCCAACATGGGATTTTGAGAGTTGTAGCAAGATCAGTACAGTGTTTCCTTAACAGACCTTTAAGTATTTAATTCTAAGAACTCTTCCAGGGTTATGCTAAGTGAGTACAGTGATACTTTGTGCAAGAGGAGCAAAAATACCTTGTTTTGTGATTTAAAAATAAGTTATTTGCCAGGGCAAATGTATTGCTCCATATTTGTAAAATCTGCAGTTCCTATTCCCCAGTAAAATAAATCCTTTAGTCATATTTTTCTATAGTGTGATTATTTGACGAGCTTGAATCTGGTATCCTTCCTCCTTTATGGTATTCCATATCTGAATCTTATAGTTTATAGTAGAAATGTTGCTAATGTTTAAAATTGATAAAGACAAGAATTTTGCTCCAACTGATAAAAAAATATAAAGCACATTGAAGAGTGTAATAAATGCATTAGTAGAATATGATAAGGTGAGAAGATACTGTTAATGATGGACAAAAATCTGTGTGGTGCATTAAAATATAACTGAAACCACTTTATTGAACAATCAAATGTTTACATCTCAAGTTTGTAAAAATCAGATCTATTTCATAATTTGGAACAAATTAGAAGGCTGCTATGGATACTCTTGGCTTTTCACTTTCTTTTAGAACCTCTTTCAACTTTACTTAGATTTTATACTCACAGGGTAATGAGAAAATTATTGAAATGGGGGAAGCTAAAATAATCTTACTATCTCAAAAACTTTAGGATTGCAGCTGTAAGCATTTTGAAATTCAAACTCAAATTCAATGGTGAAAAAAGTAAGATTCTACATTTAGGCAAGAAAAACAAAACACACAGATACAGTATATGTGGTACCTTGTTCAATAGTAGTAACTATGAGTGGGATCTTTGAGTCCTAGTGGACAACCATTAGATATGAGCCAACACTGTGCAGCAGCTGCCAAAAAAGCCAACACAGTTTTAAGCTGCATAAACAGATAGAATCAAGATCACTTGAAGTGTTAATGCTACTTTATAATGCCTTGGAAAGGCCACACTTGGAATACTGCAAGTTTTGGTCCCCACAATGTAAAAAAGATATTGAGACTCCAGAAAGAGTGCAGAGAAGAGCAACAAAGATGATTAGGGGACGAGACTAAAACATATAAAGAATGATTGCTGGAACTGGATATGTCTAGTTTAATGGAAAGAAGGACTAGGAGTGACATGATAGCAGTGTTCCAATATCTCAGGGGCTGCCACAAAGAAGAGGGAGTCAAGCTATTCTCGAAGCACCTGAGAGCAGGACAAGAAGCCATGGGTAGAAACTCATCAAGGAGAGAGGCAACTTAGAACTAAGGAAAAATTTCCTGGCAGTTTGAACAATTAATCAGTGGAACAACTTACCTCCAGATGTTGTAAATGCTCCAACACTGGATATCCATTTGTCTGAAGTGGTGTAGGGTTTCCTGCCTAAGGGGGTTGGACTAGAAGACCTCCAAGGTCCCTTCCAACTCTGTTATCCTATTCTCTTCTATTCTAGTACAATAGATCATGAAGAAATCTCAATCCTTATTTTAAAATTTAGGAGCATGTTACTACTACATACATATTTTATATTAATACATAACTCATTAATATATTCAATATGAATTATTATGAATCCTACATATGTAAGATTGTGATATACGAATTAAATAAAGCTTTGTATCCATCCTTTAATAATAGTGGAAGGGACATGTTCTGTCTTTTGCAGGCCTTGATTTGGAATTCACAGGTTTGCATTCTGACAGTCAGCCTAGGTAAGCATGTTGAAATAAATATATTTCTAGTGGTGTCCCCATAGAAATTAGAAACATGATGAACAACATGGAAATCCTTCATATCTTTCTTTTCCCCAGTCTCTTTGATTTACCTGATGAGTGGTATCGGAAAGGCAGACTGAGTGTTCAGCGGTTTACAG